ACTTAGGGCATCAAGAGTATAATCAATTCTTCGCAGTGGGTATGAGTCCTTTTCGGTTATACTGTTAAGAGTCCTGAAGTCCACACCGTAAAGTTGGGTCCCATCCTCTTTTTGGACTAACACGACGGGAGCTGACCAGGGTCTATCAGATTTCTCGACTATCCCTTCTTTAATTAGGCCATCCATTACCTTCTCCATCTCTTGACACTTTGCCAGAGCTATTCTCCTTGGAGGGATTTTCATTGAACGGTGATTGCCTGTGTTTATTCTGTGCTCCACAAGGTCTGTGCAGCCGAGGTCATGATCTCCTTTAGAAAAGACATCTGCATAATTCGTCAAAAGTTCTCTAACCTGAAGAGCCTGTGATGATGACAAATGGACTGTGCTCTTCTCATAGAGATCAGTTAAATGTTCTGGGAGATGATGTCCTTTCTTTATGGTCGTATTTCTTGCCTGGCTCTACCTCCTTGCACACACCCAGCAATGCCCCTTCCTTAAGTGTCTGCTCATATTTAGAGAAATTAGCCACTGTTATGGGTACTACTTGATGACCTGCTACAAGTGACCTTCCAATATTCACGTCCGCTGGTCTGGATGGGTCTTCCACTGCTTCCACAAGCATCAGTCTTTCTCGGGGATGTTCTTTTATTCTACCCCAAATTATCTTCCCTGACATATTGTAGTTGACTTAAATGCTGTGACATGCAAATCAACAGATGCAGCAACACTTACCGGAATTAGGCATTTGTTGTTCCCAATCGTCATTTTGCCATTAATAGGAAGTCCAACCCAAGTATGCATGGGTCTTCAATGTCGGCCAAATATACTTTGTGTCTGTCCTTCATGCCCATGATCTCAATAGTTACCCACACTGGTCCCCAAAACCTTGCATGATGTTCTGTCACACCACAGAGCTTCTGGTACTCCTTTGTGATCCAACATCTTGATAATCACAAGGGTTTGCTGAGACGCACAATCTATGACAATGTTGTACCTTTGGTCATCCAGCTTTCCTGCCACGTAGACACTATGTGTGCTTGGCATTTTACACCTAGTTGTTGGGACTTTCACAGTGGGTGTTGGTGGGCGTTCCTTAGCTCTAACCACTACTGGTTTCCCGAAGCTGATTTATTGGTAGTATTCTTCTTACACTGACTCCTCATATGTCCTTGCTCTCCACAGTTCCAACAACCTTTCTGGGTAGCAGCCTTTCCTGCTGTGGCATCTTCCCTGTGTTGAAGTTGCTGACATTGAGCTCTCTTGTGGCCAGGTTTGTTACAGTGCTGGACTTCACGTAGGATTCGAATTCAAGAGCTCTGGCCATTGCATCCTGCATAGTAGAGGGGTGTGCTTGCTTTACTTGTATCTTCAGTTGTGGATTGTCTAAGGCGTCTACAAACTGATCCCTCAGCAACAACTTGAGGAGATCGGGTGGCACAGTTGGGTAGGCCTTGTGTTCCATACTTTCCAAATCCTGTGCTAGCTCTTGCAGTCTCTCCCCTTTAGCACGGACTTTAGTCCTAAACCTAGCCCTGTAGACTTCGGACTGATTCTGAGTTCCAACCTGAGTCTTAGAGCAGCTACCAGTGCTCTATAGTTGTGCCTGTCATCTGCTGACAACTGTTCAAGTATTTCCAGTGGTTGTTCCTTCAGGCCCGTAGCTAGGCACACTGCTTTCTGCTCCTCTGTCCGTCCATTCATTTCTGCCAATAGCTCAAATTGTGCTCTATATGCTTCCCAGGGTGCCTTCCCATCAAATTCCTGTGGCTTCCTTCGTACTAGATCACCCCTATTGCTGACACTCATGTCTGGAATGTGACTTCTGGCAGGACTGAAGATGTTTGCATTAGGGTTTAGCTGCTGCGTCTGGAAGGGTTTCCTGTTGTCTGGGGCTGATTAGGTCCATGTTTAATATATCCTCCCTGTTTAAAAGACAGTAAATCGTCCTTTAATGCATCTAATTCACTTTGAAATTTACTAATGTTTTCCATTTGTACTTCTTGTCACTGTTGTTGACTTTCCCGTAGTTGCTGCTGACTTTCCCGCAACTGTTGGAGACTTTTTTCTTGTTTTCTCTCTTGTTCCAGTTGCCACTGCTGTAGCCTCTGTTCTTGTTTCTTTTCTTTCTACTCCAACCACTGCTGTAGTCTCTCTTCTTTTTTCTTTTCTCGTTCTTCTTGTTTCTTTCTTTTTCCTCCAACAACTGCTGTAATCTCTCTTCTTGTTTCTTATCTCGTTCTTCTTGTTTCTTTTCTTTTTCCTCCAATAACTGCTCTAATCTCTTTTCTTGGTTATTTTGCTGTTCGATCTGCCACTGTTGCAAGCTTTCTTGCTACTGCTGTTGTCTCTTTCCTTGTTTATCTTTTCCTTCTTCTTGTTTATTTTGCTGTTCTTGTATTGCTGTCATCAAATCTGCTAAGCTGTAGTTTGGTTTGCCACTTTTCATTTCCATCTTCTTCTTTTTTTCCTTTTTTTGTCCAACTCTCTAACACCAATTTGTTAGGTATCTGCTCATTTGTTAATTTCCGGTATAAATTCTTTCCGAGGAACTTCAGTGATACAAGTCCTTTCTTAAT